ATTATTTATTTTATAATATAAAATTTTTATTAAGTACAGTGGAACCTCGATAACTCGAACTTCTACAACTCGAAAACCTCTATAAGACGAAAATTTTGTTCATCCCCTTTCGCTCCGCTGAGGAAAACCTTTATAAATCAAAATAAAACTTACCTTAACTCGAATTATTTGTTAGGCATTTAAATATATATTTTACCTCTGTAACTCGAATTCAAAGTGGCCAGACCTCTACAAGTCGAAGTTCACCTTTATAAGTCGAACTTCCATTGTCGCTACTTTTATAATTCGAAGTTGCGTAGCTATGTGTAACCGTGGAGTAATAGCCTGGTATTTTGTTTTATGATTACATTTATCATGTGTAGGCAATAAATAATTCATTGTTAAATATTGATTTTCTTCCTCTAAAAGCCATTATAATCGGAAAATTATAAACTCTCGTACAAAGCCTCCGTAAGTCGAATTTTCATATGTTAACCCTCTTTTACTCGAATTTCGATAAGTCGAAAACTATAACTCAAACAGTTTTTCTGGTCCCTTGAGATTCGAGTTATCGAGATTCGACTGTATTATAAAAGTTGTTTATAACATTATATTTCTCGTGTAAAGGATTCTGAAATACTTTTGACTTTTCAATAATTGTATCCTTTGCTGATGAAATATTTGATTTTTCATGACTTTCTTTATTTTCATAGTAATTTATTTATTTGAATCTTTTAATGAGTAAAAAACGTTGGTATTTTTAAAGTTAAACGTTTAATTTGAAAGATTAAGAAAAATAAAGACAGAGATTTAACACAATTCAGATATCGAACCTATATTCTTTTAACTATATCATGTCATTATAGAAGTGGCACATCGATGAAGTCATCGAGTAGGAGAGCCGAAAGGGTTAAAAGCAGGATTGACGCGCGACAGCCGCCTTCTCGCGTCCCACGATGTTCGAGTGAAAAGCTGCGTCGCGCCCAACAAAAAAGCCACGACGTTTCCCACGTGATCCGTCGAAGCGAGGGAGGCCAGGTCCACCCTTCTACAGATTGCGAGTGCTCATTGTTTCACGGAACAATAATAACCCGCCGTTCGCAATAATAATCTACGCGACAAGTGTGCGAAAATTCGGCGAGCGGAATTGCAAGGAGTTTAAAAAAAAGGGAAGTAGGAGGAGAAAGAGAGAAAGAGAGAGACAAGAGAAAGAGCCAGAGAAAACAAAAAAATACATAAGCATGAATTAAAAAATTAAAACTTAAAATGCTATAATAAAAAGAATAGCGAAATATTTTTAGACAAAAACTGATTAATATGAACTAATACGGAAGCATACGATGCTTCTTTATAGTCTGATTAACGGTTCTATTAAAGTATTATTAATTTGTGCAAAAAATATTTTTAAGACGTAAAATTTCGCGTTTTCGTTCAATATCGGCAAATTATAATTGCTGCATGTAGAGAAAGTAAGAAAAGAAGAAAGAGAAGGTGAGAAAAAAATCGAGCGGAAAGAGAAGAAACGAGAGAAATGGGAAAAAATATGTAAAGGAGACGAAGAGGAGGAGGAGGAGAGACGGATCATGTGTAGGGGGTGGAAGCGCACAAAGACTAGTTGCGCAAAAACACACAAACAGGCGTATTACAATAATGGCCGTGCGTGTTGTACAAATACGATATCGGCTTGAGGGGTCCGCCGCACGGGCACGTGACCCTCTCAAAGGGCTCGCAGCATAACGAACACCCCCGACGGCGAGGCGCCCCCCCGGTGGGTCGGGGAACGCCGCGCTCGTGCTCCGCGACCAGTTAGCGGGGTTAACTTACAACCCCGCGGCTAACACGCTTGTCCCGACCCCTGAGAGTTAGCTTTTTTCCCCGTTTTATTATGTGTGTTTTTTTTCCTTTTTTTTTTTGGCCCCTTCGCGTCATTGCGACGATTACTCGGTAATTTCGCCCGCTTTCCGCATTTTCGGGGGACGGAAAATTTACGGCGCGCATTGCGCCATTGTAATTTAGACCTTCATTAGCGCGGTAAGTTGGCAAATTTAAGTTGATAATGACGTTGCAACGCGATAATGAATTCGCCGAGCGAAATCTCAAATGATTGATCCTGCAGGAGACTCTACTTTCTGCTGTTATTTTCTAGTTATTTCAGAATGCTGTTTTTGCAGTTATTTCTGCTATTATTTCAGAATTACGCTAGAAAATTGAAAAAAAAGACCAAACGCGACAGAGTTTGATTTTCTATGGAAATCTTAAAGAAGAAGACTTATTGACGAATAAATTTAACAATTAAGCTGTTATTTTTATATTCTTTCAATTATTACAAAATGAATAAATACAATTCTTCCCCTGGCCGAAGACAAACGATACGTACATAACTAATATTAAATTAGATCTGAGATCTTCGTGTTTAATTATTTACGTTACGTATTTTTCATAATTTTTTCCAACTTCCTGTTATATCAAATTGCATTTAGAGAAAATTAATTAAGTCATCTTCGACTATCGTTTTTAGAGCCGCGGTTTTCCACCTTCCGAACTATGTAGTTATTTATCTATTATAAGATAAATCACATAGTTTATCCAAAAGTAAAGCATACATACAAACACACACACACACACACCACCTATAACATAATATTTAATATTGGTAACTTTGGCAATTCCTCCGCATAAGCGCGGGTTCATTAATTTCGCGGCGATGCGCTCGCATGGGAAAATTTCACGCGCCGAATGATGGGCGTATATACACTCTCATTAACAACGATCCGCATTCTCAGCCTTTATCGTTCGCGTTTTATCGCATCGAGGGCTTTTTTTCACTCGCTAGATTTCCATAATAATAAAGAGAAATGCGCGGCACGATATCGATGATGACGGACGTCGTCAATACGTTTCGCATAGTTAGTGATTCGTAAGGGAGGAACGGCGATTCGAGTGAACCAGCATAGGGGCGTGTAATGGAGGGTGTATATTCGGAAACTATTACGGTTACGTCTCGCATGTTTCGCCACGTGCTGTTGCAAGTTGTAAATCACTTATACGTGCATTTCTCGTAAGTTTCAGCCACAGACAAGAGTCCCTTTTGTCAAAGAGACCAATGGATAAAGAATATTTTACATATTTAAATACGTTTAAATTATTATAATTATTTTCTAAACCAAATTCTGCGTAAGAATAAAAACTTTCTTGTTTCTAAAGTCTTCAAATTTTAAGAAATCCAGGCAGCAAATATTTTAAAATTTGTACTCCGTCCATTATTATATGATTATTCTAAATTTTTAATTAAAAATCTCGCATATTTAAAATACATATATAAAATCAATTTTTCGATAAATTAATAAAATATTATATATATTTCAAGTAAATATTATAAAAAAATTAAAATGATAATGAATAGAATATTATTTATTTGTATTAAATTTATTAAAAAGAAATAGGTAATCTTAAGAAAGAAATAAAGAGGGATTTTTAGGAAAAGATTTAAAATTTATTAGTTTTATAGTATGATTTTAATTAAATTTTATAATAACATGTAATAAAGCGCTTTTTATTTAAAAAATGCTTATGTCAAGGTTGAGTATTTCTAGTTTAATTATGCGTCAATATTTTAGACTATAACTGCATTTCGATTTGCTGACAAGGACAGCGGATAAGTACTTTGTCAGGTGAGGCCTGTATTTACACGCACTGACACAAAATTGACGTGTGAAGCACGCACTTGTGTCTGACAGGGTGGCCTTCGACGGAAACGACGTAAAGTCGGGGTGGAATCTATTACTCGAATATGCGCAGTTTCTGTTTATAGAAAAATCGTTATGAGATAAATTAGATATTACATATAACAGTTTAATAATCTTAATTTGAATTTATAAAAATCTTAATTTTAGAAATAAAGGCAGCGATAATGAACTATTTTGCACTTTTCTAAATTATTTGACATAAAGCGATGATTGATAATTAATTAGAATAAAACAAACCCTTAAAAATTTTTCAAAAATTAAAAAAAATTAAAAAGTAAAGGTAAGTGATTGACGACAACCAGTGATTTTTTCACAATGTCAGAACTGCAATCCGGCTACATTCAGCGCTACCGGATAGTCTATCGCACGGCGTATAAGTTACACGTTAAAAAGCAAAATTACAGTATTGCAGAGTATGTTAATTAATTTTGAATTTTTTTAAACTTTAAAGTTAATAATAATAGAAGTTATGTAAAGAGTATTAATTTTTTATGTATTAAAAAAAATTATATTTTCAAATTAAATTGTATAAATAGCAATTTATAGTATTTTGCTTCTTAAAATAAAATCAGAAAAATTGTAATCAAATTCTTTTTTACAAATATCAACTTTTTTATATTATCTGTTTTTTGAGAGAGGCGACAAACGAAGGAACTTTTAATTTAATTGAAGAATATCAACAGCAGGTAAGAATGAAAAACTAGACTTTACTATATCGATTATAGTTAAGAATATATATATCTTCAGTCATCACAAATATCATCTGACGATATATGAACAACAATCTACACCTGTCGGTAAGTTATTTTGTTTAAAAAGATATAAGAAAAATATAAATCTGTTTATTTATTTACAAAAGAATGCAATTATAAATCATACGACGTAAACAGATCAAAAATCATTTTAATATCAGGAAACAATTATTGTTTTTTTTATACGCACGTATAATATGCAATGATGTCTCACACGCCAGTAAAATTACCTTATATTAAAAAAAAAGTATTGAATACAAAGAAATCGCAGTATTGAAAGCGATACCGTATTTTAAACAAAATATTAAAAGAGCTTCCAAAACTTTGTGAATTACAAAGGGAAATGGAGAAAGTTTTATTGACGAGGGAGCTTTATTGAACAAGAGCTTTATTTGGGAATATTCTCATTTTGTTCGCCGCCTTGTATTGTACGTGCCGTGCATAAATTCAAAGCCGTCGCACTGTGGAGTGTCCAGAAACAAACAAACAGCAAGTTAAACAAATGCAAATCGCACCTGGCGTGCGGCCAATATCAACGATCGATTTTGCGGGTCCGCGCGATGCCTTTCAAGAAATTCAGGCCGAAGTTCTCCATTTACCAAGTTTGCGTAACTATACTGGAGGCAAAGCACTTGCCGCAAAATGCGAATCCGCTGGTCGTCGTCAAAGTTGGAAATCGCAAGAGAAGGACAGTGGTACGCGAGAGAACCGATAATCCTGTTTACAACGAGGTGAAGTTATCCAGTCTATCAAAATTTATTTGCACATAACGCTCAACTCGAAATTGTAACGGTTAGAATTGACAGACGTTCGACACGTGACTTTAAATAAATTATTTACTTCCTTGTCAATTTAAATTCGCAAAATTTAAAATTTAAAGGAAGCTTCTTTTCCTTTTCCGTGTCGCGACAAATCTTTGTGACAGCCTTGAGTTGTAAAATATTTAAATCCTAAGTTAACCTAAGTTTTTAAAATTTAAAACTTTGAAATCTAAAAGTTTAAAGACTTTAGCTTCTTGCCTCGAATTCTTGGATCCTTTGAATCTTGTAAGCGACATGTGGGACATGCCAATATAAGGCATGCAATATGTATATGTTTCTAAACTTAAAGCGAAGTTTTTTAGATTCTATCGTCTTTCGTGAATTAAAAAACTGAATATTTGTTTACTTTAGAGAATATAATATACGGTTGAAATAAAATCGCAGATCATTAAAATTCTGGAAGCTCGCCGAGCTCTTTAGTACTCTTACAGACACAAATCTTTCAAATTCAAGAATTTTAGAGTCCACCCAGATTGTAGAGATTCTGTATTCTCGGTCTTTCCGAAAATTTCCCGACATCTAACTTTCGGAATACTACGCGCGTTTATAACGAAGATACTTTGTTCGCGTGGAATTGCACATTTATTACCTCTTGCCCTTTAAAACACACACAGTACTTCGTATTCGACTTCACGTGCAGTTTGGACAATCTGCTAAACACGGGAATCACGATAGCGGTGTACCTGCGGAACTTTCTTCGGCGGCTAAAGTTTCACGGAAGCACTTCCTTCGAAGTTGCCACAGTATGGGAGCAACCAGGTTACTAAAAAGAGAAAAATGAAAAATAGAGAGCGAAAGAGAGATATAAAGAAAAAAAAAATGCGGGTGTACTTCAGAACTTTGTCGCTGGTACAGTGAATCAAGAGGAAGAGATAAATATACCTTCCTGAGCGACAAACAGCTTAATTATCCTTCCAAAGTTTAAATTTCCGTTTACAAATAAAAATGGGGAAATATTTTATAGATATCGGAAAAATACCGCCTCGGAAATTAAAGAGAAACACGTTTGATTTTTCAAGAAGCATTTCTAAGATATACGTTGTTGCCTCTGTACATAGATCGTCAGTACTATCATAAGTGGGCCGTGTTGACAGACCCGAAGGATCTGACGGCGGGCCCGAAGGGTTACGTGAAATGCAACGTCACGGTAAACGTCAAGGACGAGAAAGTGAAGGTGCATCCAGAGACAGCGGATGAGGACGACATCGAAGGGTAAATCCCTCCCGACAGATAAATTCCCATTATCGACATATCCGTACTTCATATCGAGTGCGCGTGTCAGAATTTCCGTCGTTTGTGCTCGAATCTCCCGTCTGTTTAAATGAACGATAGGAATCTGCTGCTCCCCATCGGCGGCGAGAGACTGCCCTTCAGGCAACGCGCCCGATACGTCTTCGTCGTTTATCGCGCCGATGGTCTGCCCGACATGAGCAGCCTGTGCAAAAAGACCGATTTCGAGAACGTTAATCCCTACGTGCAAATCTCGTTCGCCGGAATGAAGGTACGAAAGAGTTAAGTCCTTGGCTGTCAGAAGCATCTACCCGCGCAGGATTAAAATTTCGAGGCGCCTTCACACAGTTATGGAAAATTTGTATTAAATTTAATATATTTTACATATCTCAAATGGTCCATTTAAATTTTTGTGTTAATTTAACGTAAGATGAGTACGCTAAAAAATAACGCAAATATTATATAAAGAAATTGACACAACAAATGTAACACTGACACAATTTGTAAGCCACCTCTGTGGAAGCATATTTTTTCAATAAAATTTACATTTATGGTTATTAATTAATATTTACGTTAAATTAAATTATTTTGTTTATTTATGTAAGAATTTACGTTTTAAAACACATTATTTTTATGTTATATTCGTTCACTTACTTAAATTGTGTTACTTTAACATTAAGAAATGTTGAATATCAATTTAACATAAATATGATATGAATATTTAAAAAATATGATCACATTATGTTAAATTGACACTCAAATATGTTAAAAATGTTAATAAAATTTGAACAAGAACTTGAGTGGACCGTTTCTAACACAAATACAAAATGTCTTTTACTGTCTGTAGCTTTTTCGAGAATAAACTGTATGATAGTACAGATATATTTAATGCAAACCCGCGCCGCTATCATCGACGAGAAATATTTATTTAGAGCGGATTACGGTCTGTCACGATCGAACAAAATCACGATTGTAGACCGTGATGGTCTTTCAGGAATCGACGAGCGAGGCATGGCAAACCTACTCCCCGAAATTCAACGAGGCGATCATTTTCAAGGAGATGTTCCCCATCCTCTGCCACCGCGTGAGAATCACTATAAAACACCGTATCGACAGTTGCCGCACTTGCGTCGTGGCAGTTCATATCCTGGACACAACAAAGATCTCGAATTCCGGAGAGTACGGTGAGATTGCCAAATAATTTCATGCCAAGAATAAAAAATAGCCTGGGGGGAGGAAACACGAAATTGCTTCCGGATGAAAAATAAATTTGGAATAGACATCCTTACGCGTATCTTAAATCTTTATATCTCCCATCCCAATAGTTTTACTCCCCCAAATTCGATAAACTGTTTATACAAGAGACTTGCATTTTTTAAATACTCTTATATTACGATAAACTCCGATTCAGAGATAAATACAGCCTTGACCATAAATACATAGTAAAAAATATATCGTATTTATGTTACAAACGGTCTTACTTGTTTGTGTTGATATTTTTAATATATTCGAGTGATAATTTAACATACCATATAAATGTTTATTTTACTGAAAAAATATGCTTTCACAGTTTGCTTACAAATTATTTTAATGTTACATTTTTTGTGTTAATTTTCTAATATAATATTTATGTTATTACTTTCTAAACTATTCATCTTGTGTTAAATTAATACAAAAATTTAAGTGGACCGTTTGGAACATGTGAAATGTGTTAAATACTCAAATACAACACAAATTTTTAAACAGTGTATAAAGCATTCTCAATTTATTGTATTTTCTTGAAAAAAAGCGATAATAAAAGCAAAAGGAGGATATTAATCGAGATATCAAAACGGTTGTAGATATAAATATTATTTTTCAATAAAACTGGGACTCTTAATTTATTTTTTGTTAGACATATAGAACGTTTATTTTTGTGAGCTTTATATTTTATACTCGTACTTATTGCCAAGGCTGCATTTATACATATAAATTCACGAGCGCGTTGATATTAATCCTGATTTAAACTGAATTACCCGCACAAATGTGTACGAAAGTTCAAGTAAATGTTGGAAAGTAATAAAGTAAGGGCGCGACGTGAGAAATTGCAAAAGGTAGTATTTGTCCTGCCAACAGGATTCCTGCCGACTTACGGGCCGTCTTTCATCCACTTTTACGGATCCGGCTCGGTGGAAAAGAACGGCTGCTCGGGCAAATGCTTGACGGCAATGCCTTTGTATCGCGGAAGGGTGCTTCTGTCACTGAAAACTGAAATGGATGACCCAGAAGCATCCTCCGGAATCGGAGTTGAGACCGTTCCAGCATTTCCCATTATCGAAGTGATTAGATTTGTTGTTATGTTTCGCTTCTGTGGCTGTTTACTTTATTTATGGTTAAATTCCAATTCTTCCTATAGAAAAATCGGTTTTCAGTAACAATAATTTTTGTTATTCTGCTAGAGTTCCTAATGTGAATTCCGTTTATTTTAATGTATTTACCTAATTTTAATTAATCGGGCAAACGTGATACCCTCTCAATAAATATAGCAAGAACATGCATAAAATATTTCTAAAGTTTAATTTATTCTATAATAAATTTCTTTTTTCTGATTTAATTAAAGACTTTAATTAAATGAAAATGTAGAGATTTATATGAAACTAAAAACCACTAGAGAGTTGAATAAGAAAAATAAATTTTCTTAGCTCGATATAATTTTTGACGAAAGACTTGTAGGAAACTTACATGAAAAAGAAACTTTAGAAAAGCCTGTGGTCGACCGAGAAATATCTTTTGGTCGGAGTGCTGTACGACGTGTGTTTGATCGACCGTTCTCGATTCGGATCGAAATTAATCAGCTTCGAACTGAGTCTGGGAAACGCGGGAAATCAGCAATTTCCGCACAGTCAATGCGCCGAAGACAATAACGATCGTCAGTCAGGTGCTCCATAAACTTTTATCCTCGCCCGTCACATTGTCGCGTCTGTCCATCCGAAGAGTACATTTTAGCGCTAAATGTGACCGTAAATGGAAACGGAAATGAGAATTTAAGGAGACACACTTTGTTTCAAATACCCAGTATTTTTCTTCGACCTTCCGCAACTCCGGTCTGCGGGTGCAGTTCGCCATCGATTGCGATTTGTCTGCGGGGTGGCTGTCGACAGGAGAGACAAATTTTCGGGTTTACTCGAGGAGACGACTGTTTTAGAGTACGGAAATGGATGTCGCGCGACTCTTGCTACTCTTCCTCAACTCGCAACGGCATTTCTACGGATTTGTCGCTGTTGGTTGCAGCCACTCTGTATTTGTCTCGCGTGAAGTATGCTTTTAACGTCAACGCGCGAGATGGGAATCAGGAGGTCACATTTAGCACATTGAGACGGAGCGACAAAAATATTCTCTTCCCTCACTTATTCACGCCTTCGACAGAGTTGCTGGAAAAGCGTTTGAACTTCGAAAGTCAATCGGCCCCTCGGACGACCGGCAGTGTGGACGGCAAATATAATTACGTGCCCTTGGGATCCAGGAAACCCTGCTTGTACGTGAGGTCTTGGTGGCCAAATTTGGAATGGCGGATGTTCAACAGCAATAATCTCCGCTACATCTCCGACTTTTTGGTACGTTGTAACTGCATATCATTAAAAACTCGTAAACTTTTAATTTAATTTAAATTAAGCAAACTCGAAATTTCTCTTGAAATTAGATTGTAAAAATTACAACGTAATTTTATTATTTAAAATTAATTTTGCTTTATATTAAATTGTTAAAATTACAATACGTATATTAATTTTAATAGTTTGGTTCCAAAGTATAATATTTTAAAGTCCACCAATTATAAAATTAAACAAAAAAAGTTTTGAATTATTTTTAAATACAATATGAATGATAACTTACAATATTTAATTTTTAGGAAAAATTAGAAAAGAGTTACTGATTATTATTGAACAGTAGCAAAGCATGTAAAATTTTAAATAAAATTTAAAATATCTTAAATCTTATCGAACTTTTTTAACGTCAAATGCAGTTTGTGCGAATTGGGAAAATTAGAAATTATTTTAATCTAACTGCAGGAGTCGAGATTAGAGAAACTAGAGACTCTCATGGGTATAGAGAATCCGATAGCCTTCGAGGCTTATAACGAGACGATTCGCGCACTGAAAGCTCACTGCGCGCGTTATGTAGACGCATTGGATACCGGCAGGTACGAAAACAAAGGAGGAACCACTAAACTCGATCGTCATCGCGTGAGTTTGTGTCGAAAAAACGTCGAGGATATCCTCAAGAGGATCAAGATCAACGGCGAACTTCCTAATAATAATTACATGAGGATCGCGATGATCCACGCGTATCAGTATTTAAGAAAATTGAGGAACCTGTGCGATGACGTAAGTTGACAATGTGTGTCTATCAAGAGTAGGGCGAAGCTTAAAGACAAATAATACAAATTCTATTCTTTTTGTTCCGAAAATTTCGGAATGGAATGAATAATTATCATGTTGTCTGCCCAGCAATTTTTGTATGATCGTGTAAATCATAAAATTTTTATTATCACAAATATATGTATGTATAGTCCCTGGCCATATTAGACACATAATATTTTTTAGAATTGATTAACTTCTAAGGATCAGATATGTGTTATATTATAATTCTATCTACTGTTGTGATTAATTAATTGAAATATGCAAAGAACGTAGTTGTAAATAAAATCTGTAAAATAGATACATTTGTTCTAATTCATTTGTCACTTACAGTATACTGATATATCCGTCACGGATATATCAGTATATATCCGTCACGGATATGTCAGTATATTGTACCCACGGATATCCGCGAAAGAATACAAACCTGTTAGCAGAGGCGACAGCGAGGAAAACGCATGTGTTTTCTGTTTCTATTTAAAACAATTTGTTTTATTTGTATATTTGTTATAATAAACTTCAATTTAAACATTATATAATTATTAGAATCATGGTTTTTTAATAGTTATTAATAGTGAATTAATAAAATAATTAAAAGAACTTATATACATATTACATCTCTTCATTTTACGACGATAAATAAATATTTAATAAATATTATCAAAACTGTGTATTTATTAATAGAGAATTAGTACAAGCAAAAGAGAAAACTCTGTTTCAGATGTGTAAAAGTAAAAATAGTTATAATTTTCAATCACTCATAATGAATTCATAAAGAATTCCGTGCACTTAATAATATGGCCGAGGACCGATGTGAATGATAAAATATTGTGTAACATAATTAAATAATTAAGATTTTATTTTCTCAAGAATAATATAAGTTTAATATTTTTTTCTTTATTATTATTTAGCTATTTATGGTACTCAAAATTTTATATTATAAATGGTACTTATTTTCTTATGAGCATTTTGAAAAATTTGGTAGTGTCAGTTATCAATGACCATCGGAGTGCCACTGAAGAGTCAAACATTGATCTCGAATGACATTCATGACAATCAATGTGTTACAGATTACTTTAGATTGTTCTATGATTCCACGTGGTATCTCGCTTAATACAATATATCGCTCAACCAGCCTCAACACAGTCTTCCGGATGTCTTCGTTTGGATGATCGCCGGCTCGAAGAGGGTCGCTTACACGCGGCTGCCGGCCGAGCAACTTGTCTACTCCGAGGAAGCGACTGAAATGGGCGGAAAATGTGGCCGGCGGGTCAATCTGTTTCCCAGGAATCCGGACGACGACGGGAAGCCAGCCGAGTACAGCGCCTGCAAAATCGAGGCATTTTTGTGGCTCGGCAACGCGAAGTACGCCGCGGCGTGTTGGAGCGCGATTCCGCCGGGATACGAGATCGATCACGGCAGAAGCGTCGACGCGTTCCCGAAGTACATCGAGTACAATCAGTCCGCGGTGAGCGTTCCCGGGTGATAAATATCGCGGCGGGAGAATGCATTACGATGCACGGAATGCACAACCCGAGAGTTGCGGCACACTCTGCACTGAGCAGGGGGAAGGGGGATCGGTAAAATAACTGATATTTAAAATAACAAATATGAAATAGATTTCAGAAATTTATTTAAAATAAAATTTCGCAGGGGTCAATAAAAAACTGATACAACTTATTTAAAATGTGTGTAAAAAAAATAAAATAAATTCCAAAAACATATTTAAAATATTAAATAAGAAATAGATCAGAAGAAATTATTTAAAATAATAAATACTAAATAATTTTTTTACTTTTTTTAATTTAAAAAACATATTTTAAATAATGTTTTTTTTTTTAATCTGATCCCTGATAAGCATGCAGAATTCGGCAAAGTAACTGATATTACTCATTTAAAATAACAAATATAAAATAGATTCTAGAAACACGATTTATTTAAAAATATAAAATAGATCAGAAGAAGCTATTTAAAATAATAATACTAAATAATTCTTTTACTTTTTGTTATGTAAAATACATATTTTAAATACGACCGACTCCTGGCACTGAGTGAAAAGAAATGCTTAATAAATTTCACTATAATTTATAGTCACTATAGTATATATAGTTTCGGTGCCTAAACTATACAGTCGAATCTCGATAACTTGAACCTCTATAACTCGAAAAAACCACTCGAATTTTTTCATTTAAAAGCTATTATAATCGGAAAATTATAAACTCTCGTTACAAAGCTTCTGTAAGTAGAATTTTCACGTCAATCATTCTCTTTTACTCTAACTTTAATAAGTCGAAACTTCTATAACTCGAAGATTTTTATAGCTTCTCCCTTGAGATTCAAGTTGTCGAGGTTCGACTGTTTGGTGGAATTATAAATAATAATTATTATTATTACTAACTAAAGTAGACTAAAGTGACAGCAACAATATAACTATAAAAATAAAGCTTCTAGCTATGCAATTATATAGCAAGTACACTTTTTACGCGGTGTGACTTCGATCGATAGCGATCAGATTGACGCGCCTTGATGGACGATACTTAAACTACCTATACTTAAAACTATGAATAGAAATGTGAGAACGATAATATCGTGATTTAGCGACATAATCGTTACAGACGTTCCAGTTGCGAGCTCACATATTCCAAGGTCGTTTCGAACCCGGCATGGAGGCTTCCGGCCTGCTGGACTCATTTATACGCGTCGTGTTTCAGGGATACACGGCTTCCACGCGGGTGAGTTTACGTTTAACATTTTAACGGCACGTGCAAATTTCACTTTCCCGGCTTCTGAATCTTTCAAAATATGAAATTTTTAGCGAGCGAGGTGCACGCGACTCGGCGCCCGCTGGCTCGGGTTATCGCCAGTTCTCTCCCGCCACGGTTATCATGTGCGCATACGCGAGCGAGATACCGTGAAATTTCCGTATTCCTATGACATTTCACTCGAAACGCGCGAGAGCAACGACCGATGTAATACGGACGTGATTAATGTTGCACGCGCAACATTTCGCGTTCCGTTCGTTTCGCCGTACTGTTGACAAATATTAAAATGTACGGCGTTAAGTCGCGACTGTGTATGTATCTGCTACTTGAAAAGCGTCGCGTGATACACCGCTGGATTCGAAGCCGATTCGTTCCGCATTAACGCGGTAGTACTATATATTCACAGGATTCACACGACAGACAAGTTTTAAAATGACGTCAGCAACGTCATTTATTATTGTCACTCCGATATTATGCAATGCAATTAATAAGATTAATGATCAAGAATTCCGAGTTAATGATCAATTAAAATCGTTACCGATGAACCGTTTGAAAGCATTCATTCTGCATTCATTCTGATTTAACTTCATAAACTGATGATAATTGACGGGAAAGAAATCGTTTTTTTTTTGCACATATTGCTACACTTTCGCTGGGTTATACTTAAATATACATCAAACTTTAGCCTTAAACTTTTTTAATTAAAAAATCAAATTAATTAATCTTCAATTTTAATTTAGAATTAAAATTCTAAAAACAGATCAACTTGTAAAAATCTCCCACTACCCGCATTAATTCCAATAGTCGATTCCTTTGTATAGTGCTTTTTTAAAGCTCTTTGCCATTTATCTTGTAAGAGTGTCCGAACGACGTAGGTACACTGCAAATTCAAATGTGTAATAAATACACACTTATATACAAGGCAAAATTATACATTTATGTGTGTGACTTAGTTTTCTGTGTAAAAATAATACACTATATAGTGCATAAAAAAATAAATTTACGCATTTAAAAATTACACACTTGGATTTGCAGTGTACACGTGAGAAATGCGTGATTCAGGAAATGTTGTGTATCAAAGTTTGATGGAACTTGAGTCTAAGTTAAATTCTGAACTTTCACTTTATTTCACACAACACTTGAAACAATTGTATGTGCATAAGAAAAACCGAAGGATTCGGATTGATGGAGCGACAGTTCCGCGTTGCCAAATCTTACCGTGTCAGAGAGCAGCGTGCTCCTTTTATCGTTTTCGGAAACGATTAAGTACTATGAGTGCTGCGAGTTAGCTTTAACGGTACGAGAATCGATTATCGCGCTGGAATCACATACGGGATGTCTCCGCCGGATTGCCCCGCTGAATTCGAAATAATACTTACAATCTTTTATTTAATTTATTTTATAATAAGTGTACTAGTTGTAATATAAAACTATATTAAAAGATGCAATCGAATTATTTATACAATTAAATTTACGTTAGTTTTTTTTAAATATTTTTGCATTAAGATTTTGAATTCTATATAATAAATCTTCAAGATATTCATTATCAAAATATTATTCATAATTGTGTAACATTCGAAGAAAAATTATACACTATAGTTAAAACGAAATTGCTTTAAATGTTAAAGAATATTTTAAAGAAAGAAATGTTTGCATTTATTTAATAAGAGACCTTAAAATATATGTAAGTTTAATTTTATAATTTTTCCAGGTGATAAGACAAAGTTTAGATCCATTTTGGGATCAGACGTTAATTTTCCCTCCGATTATTTTGCACGGCACTAAAGAGTATACTAAGTTTCTACCATCCGAAGTCGTCTTGCAGGCTTTCCAGCAGGATTTATTCGTAAGCAAAGCGGTAGACCTGTCAAATTTCTTGACGGCATTTCCCCGAAAATATAAAAATCGGAAATATAAAAATAAAATAAAATAACAATTTAAAAAGTCGGTAATCGAAAAATTATAAATCAAGCATAAGGAGTCTAATAACGCAGAATGGAGCGTGAAATAATTTAAACTATATCTTCACATATATAGTTACATCTCCTTATTTATAAAATCTTTCTTTACGTATAATACGTTTTGGCCTCTTAGATTTTTTTTAGCGATAAATAATACAGTAAAAAATTGTGAATACTAGAATGTGACTGAAGCATTTTCACAGCCAGCGTAAATTAAAAATTAACATATATTATAGAATATTCTTCAGTTGAGTACGTCGATCACATTCTATAGTATTCACAATTTTTCATTGTATACATTTATCGCTGAAGAAAGTCTGAAGGAGGCCGAAACGTACGTAAGGAAAGATTTTGTAAGGAGACCGTAACATGCGAAGATTAAATTATTTCACGCACCAAGTTCTGCGTTATTAGACTCTTAGTGCCTGATTTATTATTTCCTGATTATCGATTTTTAAAATAACACGTCTTAAGAAGAAATACAAATAGAAAAAGAAAATGTCGGAAATATTACTGTTCATACACGGGTATAATTGTTCTCGGGATTTTCGAGTAGAAATTAAAAAAAAAAACTTCAAATTGTTTCAACTGTATGCAACGTATCTTTCGTACGGAAAATAATGCAGGGCACGAGGGAATTCTGTGGCAAGTGTATTGCGGTGCCATTAGTGAAACTCGCCACGGAAACTTACTCGCCGCCCGATTTCCCACCGAAATTAGAGTGGTGCAAATTCCAGTCGCATAAAGATTGCACCGGCTCGGTCCTCGCCGCTTTCGAGCTGATAGAAGTGAGTTATCGATTTTTCCTCTCAGGGCAAATATCAACACGACGTTCCAACGTGTCATCTCTCAATCTTTTTCCATGCGATACATTCTATTCAATGGTCTACTTTTGTTTTTCAATATCGAAAAGACACTGTAAAATTCGATAGAAAATATATATGCAGAGTGAGCCAACGAATACTTTCCATTTCTGATTCTTTTTGTAATCGATTTGGACGAAATGTTTATCCGAAGCACATCAATTTTGTTTTTAAGGGAAATGTACAACTGTAATAAATTTAAAGATTTAAGTGTTGCTTTATTTCCTTGATTACAACAATTAAAAATTTTTTGAAAATCTTAAATGACAATAGAAATCAAGATGACACACATCTTTCTCTTTCTCCCTTTGTTTCAAAGTTCTTTCAATTTTTTTGCAATCTCGTTTTTTTTTAATTTGAGCAAGTTTTTCTAAAAAAAATCGCATTTGGATGTTAAGAATTGAAAATTCGAAATAGATCCGATTGAGTGATCTACAAAGTGATGTAATTTAAAAAAAATTTTTTTTTTAGAGATAGTGGAGACCGGGAACAAAAGTAACAGGGTAACAGTTGTAATATCGTGAATATTTTTAAAACTATAATAAGTATATGTATGTAGCGGTGAGGCAAAAATCATTAGACAGACCGACATTGATGGTTTGTTCCTTATCGATCCATACTGAACGTGCACGTGTGCAGGAACAAAAAATACTTTCTTCATTCGTCAAATAAGTTTTATTATATGCACAAAATCTAAAATATTTTTGTTTTTTAATGGTGAAGTTATAATGTATTTTCTAAAAAGGTTTTAGTGATTATTTATGTTGATGATTTGCACATTTTAATTGATTTTCATTTATATATTTATTTCGAAACTTTACTTTGAATTATAAAATA